TATGTTGGATAAGCGCAATGGCCACAGTTTTATTTATATAGTAAAAACAAAAAGGAATTGGGGACATTAAAGGACCACTATAGTGCCAGGAAAACATACTAGTTTTCCTGGCACTATAGTGCCCGGAGGTAGCCCCCATCCTCAGTGCCCCCCTCTCAATGCTTTCCTGTGGACGCTGGCATCTTCTCACTGTGAAAATCACAGTGAGAAGAGCGGACGCGCCTCTAGCGGCTTCTCTGAAACTGCTATGTTTATAGAAGAAAGGGTTAATCCTGGACCTGGCACCCAGACCACTTCATTAAGCTGAAGTGGTCTGGGTGCCTATAGTGGTCCTTTAACAGAACATGCAGGAATGGTGCTGCCGTAGTGACCAAAATTTTTACATAATACAGAGTAAGGAACAGGGCACTCATAAAACACATTTCTAAATTCTAAAAGTCTACTTTAGCTTATTTAGCACTAGCACTATTTAATTTGTTTCCCACATTGGAATTAGTGTAGGACCCACCAATATTCGGGCGTTGTGGTGGGTTTAACACAATATGGCCATGTAGTGGAACTGAATCCTCATATTTGTTTGCTGAGATATGTGATGTTAAGTAGCCTTATAGAATTTACAAATGCATTTTATAAGTGCTCTGTTTCTTAATCTGTATTACAGCTTTATTTATAAACACAAATGCCAGCAAACATATTAACCCTGTCAGCTGTTGGGATGCTTTACCAACAGACAGCTCTATCCTGGAAAACCAACAGTCTGGAGCAGCCTGCCCCTATGCTTATTCTAAATGACTGGTAAATCCTGTCCATGTTCATCCCTTTTATCCTGTCCCCAAGTTGTAACAATTGTATCCCCTTAGTCCCAACCACTTATCTCTGGCAGCAGTCATGTCCCCCCTTTCTTAGCAGTCCAGGGATGCTCCTTTTAAGATGAGTCCAGCTGCAGATATATTTATTATCTTTTGAATATAATAAAATAGTAACATCAATTGGAGCTGTGAACTTACTTTATGACTGATTGAATGTGTCTATGTTAGGACAATCTGACTTCCATATAAGTATATACATCCGAGTCTGGGTAGAGGTCAAAGTCCAGAGATAAAACAAGAAATGCTGCTCTTTAAATTGTGTTTATTATTTTTAAGTTCTTGAAATTGATTTTTTAAATATATATATTTCTAAAGCATTGTAATATATATATAGGGGGTATTCTAAGCATTTTTGCAAAACATGATTTTGCCCCAATGTAAATAACACAATTTAACAAATTAATATGTTTCACCTATTAGATAATGTATGAACCCAACATGTTTGGGGTACCTTGTGATAGTGGCATAGCCATGTGAGAGTACACATTTCACAAATTCTCAAAAATATAGTCGAGCAAGGGTGCCCAAAAGGTAGATTCCCCATAAGTTTTCAAACCAAAGCTTCCATGATGCAATATCTCGGGGTCTACTTTTTGGGCACCCCTGGTCTAGATTCTTCATTCACTTGCTAAAAGATGTATAGCTCTCATAACATCAATGTATGCTAATTCCCTTGTGTGCTGTATAGAATTTCATAAATGTGCCCATGTAAATATTTCAGCAATATATAGATTCAGCTATGTCATTGATAGTGGTTCTGCAAACCTTGTTCCTTTGGACAGCTAAATGGTTAATAGTCCCCTTGTTTAGCCAAAAGTTTGTTTTTTGGAGATTAGTTTCAGTTGCACCTTTAATCAGCCATATGGTTGCCCACCCAGGCACTTTCTCATTCTGCACAAAGAGATTTGGCAGATATACTGGTATTTTATACCATGATTCAGAACAGACAAGAAAACTCATTGTCTGTCATGAATCAGACATTAACAAGTACACAAATGAGCCTCTCGGTAACATTTTCCAAAGCTGCTAATCTTAGACTTCTCTTTGCCCAGATACCCTTTAATACAAAATTGAACGCTGCTTGCAAATCTTTATTACTTTGGATTTTTCAGTGGTATAATAAGAAATAAGGAGGCTCCTGCTGTTTAAGTGTGTTACTTAACAATATTTGCCATTTAGGAAGATACATTTAACTTACAGCTTATATGACTGGGTGGAGTGAAATGATGAAGTCGGATGATCTATGAACCACTGATTTCTCTTGTTGTCACTCCAGATGTTTGTAAACTACATTTCCCATGATACTCAGCCAATGTGCTGGCTGAACATTATGAGAATTGCAGTTTACACACAGGACTATGACTGTCTGAACATCACGTGAAATATAGTTTACAAAAATCTGCAGAGCCAAGATTAGTAATTGTTTAAGCACTGTCGCTTGGAGTAATAAAATGCTGCCCAGCTGTTTAGAGTATCAAAGGCTGCAAGCACATGACTATTAAGAGGGCTTTCCAAGCACTTACACCGTAGGTGTATTGTGTAAGATGGATTACAGTTAGTTATGCTAGGTGGAATTTTTTTAAAATAATAATTTTGCTGCGTATCTTCCCATTCTGCCTCTCACACCCAGCCTGCTGTGTTATCTTCTTTGCTCCATAATACAATTGTATATTAAGCACAGCAAATGTATCTGGGAGTTGTAGTTCAGCTGTTAGTGTTCTACTGTTGGAAGATGACAACTGAACTAGGATACCTAGAAACTCCTTCTTTACCCTCACTTAAAGGGACACATTAATGATCACTCAATGAAGTGGTCTGCATGTAATGTCCCTGTCCTTTTAACCAAAACTTAAATGTTTGCATTGCAGGGTTAAATCCGCCTCTAGTGTCGGTCAGCATGCCCGCCACTAGAGGCGCTTCCGCTATACTGACTAAATAAAACTGTGCCACGTGAAGCGGAGGCACCCATAGGAAAGCATTAATTTAAGTTATGTCCCCAATACTCCTCTATGAGAAGCATTGGATTGGGTCATAGCCAAGGATGCCATACCTTTCAGGATGGAGAGAGGCAAGCAGAGCCAAGGGAGCCTGGCCCTGGAAAAAGGTAAATACATATTTCTTATTTTTTAGGGGGTAGACCTGTGTTGTGCTAGGGACAGGAGCACTATAGGGTTTGGAATCCATGTTTGTATTCCTAACTCTATAGTGTTCCTTTAAAGCATCTCTGTGCAGAATATTATGAGATAAGTGTAACAATACCCTAGTAAATTAAAGGAAGAAGATAGATGATAAGTCACTTTGTGGTCTTGGAAAAGTTTACTCCTGAAGTTGCAAAACATGGGAATATACAGCAAATGTAGGAACAGCAAATGTGGGTATCTATATATATATTTTTAAATATATTGTATTGCTTTTCTTGTTGTTTTGTTCTACTATTCAATGTATGTTTGACATCATGTACAAAATGGTCTTGATAGAGCCAGGATGACTAATTTTGTAAATCTAGATATTTGTGAAATATATTTCTTGTGATACTCAGCCACCCCTTCAGGCCAATCAAATCTTTGACTGTGTGATGGTTATTGGCACATTATTAAAACATCTGTCTTAATGCTAATTCCCAACAAAAAGACCCCTGTGGTGTTTAAACAAAATAATTTGTATGTGGGATTGTGGGTGGGATTGCCAGGCCTTGATATATATGGTTTGTTTCTTGTTTAGGAAAAACAAAAAACTAAAGGAATTCATAGGATTCTCTCAATCACGCTGGTGCCACAAGTATGTTACAAATTAGAAGTCACAAATCTCGAGTGTTTGGAAACCAAAAAAGACCTCGTAACTTAATCTGCATTAGAAAAAAAAAATCAAGCTGGTTTTAAATGCTGTATTTAAACCAGTGCCAATTATCAAAAAATTTTCAGACCTAAACAGAAAGTTTTTGTGTATGAAAAGAGCCACGGCTTTAAGTGTTCTGCTCCAGCTGCCTGTTGCTAGTAATTGTTTTGAATTCTCTGTAGGCCGCTGATAACCAAACCCGCAGAGCAAAGGTAATGAGAAGGAAGCACAGTCATACTGGCAAGTTTAGGTATATGCTATAGACAGGGGATCTGTTCAATATGAATTGCAGGAGAAAGGCAAACTGACAGTCTGTGGAATGGGCCTAATTTATTAAACGAGACATGTAATATAAACAGCCATTTATTTCCAGGTACAGACAGCTGGATCTGGGTTATATGACTTTCCTTCTGCCAACTGATGGTACGTTTCATAATAATCTCTGTTTTTCCCCCGCAATAAAAGTAATACAAAATGGTAAAGTAAAATCTAAGCATTACAAATCTTTGTAAGTGCTTTTACCAATACAACAAAAGCAAAAAGAATCATGCAATACAATTGCTTACAATGTTATAATAGTGCTAACGGTTATGTAGGGTTGTTATAGATAGATATATGTCAACACATCTATAATTAATATTATAGTTCTTTCTAAAGCGCCAACATATTCCACGGTGCTGTACAATAGGTGGTCTAACACACAATTACTTGCCACAAGATAAGTAGGGCGTACAGGAACATTCTAAAGGGAATGGAGTAAAATTACACAAAATGGTACTGGTAAGATATTTTTCATCTATTGGACACGTTGGTTGGCAGAAGAGTTTACAATAAAATCTTTTTTTTTTGTTTTATGACAGTTAAAAGAGAGGAAGTTAAACAGGTTATTGAAGTGTGAAGAGACGACCATTTTGATTGAAATACAAAAACAAAGAGACAAGTCAGCACTAATTAAAACACAAAATACCGCCAGGCAGCAACCTAAAAAAGGGGATCCCTCAAGACCCTTAAAACTAATATAAAACAAGGCAAGACAAGGAAAGGTCGCACCAAACATTAAAAATATATATACAGCTAATATCAATAGTAGAGATAGTCCTAGTAAGAGATCCTCTTGCATAGGTGACTACAAGTCATAGATGAGAGTCAATATAAAGTACTTGATAGAAAAATTAAAGCTCTTCAGTTGAAACGATGAGTCAATCAATCCGAGCGTTCCGTATGCATATATAAAAGACAAAAAACAGAGGACATAGAAAAGAGTGGATTCACAGAGTAGAAGATATTCAGGGAGCAGAAGAAGCACATGCTACCCTGACAGTACGAGGAACCAGGCATGCAGAGCTGTGGATGCCATGGTTCTTATACATCTCCCGTTACAGTTGTGATGGAGACGCACCAGGAAACACGGCAGGGGTACCAACTGACGCAAGCCTTATGGGAGGAATCACACCCCACATATCCTGATTGCCCATTACCCCCTGCTCCTAACCCTTTTCTTACCCCCCCCCCACCAGACTACTGGGGCCTGGGGGAACCAGGATCGAGGCCAGACGGGCCGATTATGAGAAAGACAAATAGCATAATAAACTAGGAGAGTAATAAGGATAAACAAAACGAGAAATAGAAGATGGAAAATGACAAAATACAATGATACCTGATCAGTGGCACAGTGATCCAGGACACTCTGTGGCTTGGATACCTGGCAATTATATGGGAATATAGCAAAACATAACGAACGTATGCCAATTAGATAGACACACACACCATCACACCCGCGCACAACAGAGACGCCCATTTTCAACAGAACATCGACACCTAACACGTAATAGCTAAGGACAAGGATTCAGGCACCACAGAGTAGGTGCAGAGAAACCTAAGTAACACTCGGGCTCTGCCATAGGTAAAATTCATGGGGGTAAACTAGACCCCGAGCAATTAATATTAGCTAAGTAATATGTGTAAGCTTCCACTTAAGATTGAAACCTGGAGTTTTACAAAAACTAAGGTGATAAATTCAATGTTATAGCAGAAGTGAGCATATATGTATCCTAAAGTAGGGAGAGGTTAACTAGATCTACACCCCAGAAAGTCGACTCGGACCTGCGAGTCCCATTATAACATGAGCCGGCAAGCCAATGGGTCTTCAAAACGTATATTTCTCTCATGGAGTTTTCCTTGTTTATGTTATGCAAATGTTATATAAATGATTAGACCTGCGAGTCTTACTGTTTAACTTACGATGAACCTACAAATAAATAAAAACAAATTTTCAAAAAAAAAACGGAGGACAGCGAATAGTGCAATAAATATTATTAGAAATAATGATAGTACACTCACATTTATTCAAGCTATAGCCAGCGCTAGCGTAATAGGCGTACAGTGGTATAATCCCCACTTAAAGGATATGCAGCAAGTGTCCACCTCAGGAGCGATATCCAAAACTCAGTATAAAAATATCAATAGATAAAATGAATAAAAATGTTCTTACAAGGATAGAGCAGGCTAACTGCTCTATGGTATCAGCATTGGTGGTATGATCCCCACCTAGGATTGCTTGGAGTACAGGAAAAGTAAAATGCCAGGACGTAAAATCAGTGTAAAAGAAAACAGATAATTGGCACAGGGTAGTGACTGAAAAACCTTTAATAATACACAATATAAAATATTCAAATGTGTTTTGCCTAGGGCTTCTTCAAGTGGATAGAGTAGTATAAAACCTGGCAGTTGGAGTTTATATTGGGCTAAAATGGTAAAAATTGGTTTGCCAATTAAAAATTAACATATACATAATTGACATAAAAGAAGAAAGGAAGAAATATTTGTAAATTTAGTACTTAAATTAAATGCTTTTTGTAATAAAACAAGTTAAAACAAAGGGTTTAGAGGCTAGTATGAGTAAAATAAGTCACGTGACAGTATGGGTAATATATTAGACGGCGGTTGGTGGCCGTATATGCCAGCAGTCATATTAGGAGTGGTGTTGGGGACTTCTATGGCAGCATGGGTAATATATTAGACGGCGGCCATATAGTGATTGGCGGCCGAATATGCCGGCAGTCATATTGGGAGTGGCGTTGGCCATTAGAGGGGGCATTGCAGTGTGCGCCGGCACATCTATGACGATGTCGGCGCACATAATAGTAACAATGTGGGGTATCGTTATATGGCGGCTGGAAGAGCGGCCATATTGGGAATGGCGGCTGGAGCTTCCCTAATGGCATGGATGGCCGTAATGGGGAAGGGCGTGCGTTAGCACGTATATTGTGATGGCCGGCTGCTCTGTGGTGTGAATGGTGGCTGTGACGGCGGCCATGATAGGAATGTAGGCAGTCAGATCTATAAATAGGATCGCTGGCTGTAATGGGAGGGGGTGACATGTAGCTATTAAGTATATATTAAAGGGGATGATAGGCATATACATAAGTACATATACATAAATATAATGTATGGATAAATATGCATGCATTTCGTTCCGAATACAAATTCGGACGGATTTTGGATATTCGGACATTCAGATGCTTCCGAATATCCGAAGTGCCAAATTTCCGAAGTGCCGAATTTCGGAATGCCTTCTTTCGGGAGTGTAACGGACCGTTTCAGCACACAAGGGGTAAAAACCGTTTAGGCGATCGTCCCCCTTTCCAGAGATGCAGGCACAGCTACTGCAGAACACCAATCCGCCGAACAGGAAACCATATGAATGCTGTAAACAGCCGAATAGGAAAAACCATACGAATAGGTTTACACTCCTAGAAGTCGAACTGGAACAGCATACAATAAATCCCCCCAAGAACGAGACAAAGCTCCGTGTTGAGGGTCAAGCAGTGAACAGGCAGAGCTGTGGGTTTATTGTGCTTATGTACACATTCTTACACATTAGTACCACCCACAGGGTTTTGGAACACAACCAATAAACACATACAATACACTCAGACACTCCCACACAAATTCCTCCCCTCTGCATGTGATTCAATTACCTTACACAATGGGTAATGTAATTTAGCACAAGCAGAGAAATACAATGTTTCCACATTATTCATAACTTGAAAAGTATGCATCACATTCACATAAACTTACATTTTCAGAATCAGCATACTCCAAATACAAACATATGTCAAAATCATCCAAATTGGTCCATTGGTTCAAAAGATAGATCGAAGTCCTTTGTGACCAAATGAAGCATGGCTTTTCTGCCCAAAACCAGTTCCACAGGGTCTTCTATCCTGGAGATAATTGGGAAGTAATCCAATTATCTCCAAAGACAGAGGCAAAACTCCATTGAACACATGGCAGCAAAAAGACAGTAAAATACAATAAAATAAACAAGGTTACATTTATGACATAAAATACAGACATGCAACATCCCCAGATAGCTCAGATCTGAGCGCACATTATTACTGAATGGCGCTCAGAGCACACACATACAGTTCAATTGCCATGGAGCCAAAGTCTTTCCCATAGTCTTTCATTATACGAATGGGCTCCATGGCATAGCTATCTGGGGTATCACTGCTCAAACAGGGCAAGCACCAAATGACCCGGCTTTCTTGTCTTTGCAGGGGAACATCAAGCCTTTTAACATGGGGCCATAATCCAAAGGCAACAGGCGAGCAACCAGGCTTCTCCAATGCAATGTGGCGAGATTGGTCTCGTCACAGGGAGCAATGTTATATTTGCAGATGTGAATTGTGTTGAGGGCGTTGCTCCTTCAAGGATGGAATTCAGGGCTGTTTGTAGTTTCGGTAGGAGGTTTGGTAGGAAGGTTTTGTAGTATAGGGGTGGGAGGCCATCTGGTCCTGGTGATTTGCCCATTTTGGCTTTCTATATGGCGAGTGTCAGTTCTTCCGTGATGATGAGGGTCTCCAACACTTCACGGTCGTGATTCTCAATCTAGGGAATTCCCGAGGTGTCAAGATATCGTTGTAGTTCCTCCTGTCTGTGAGGTTCTCCTTCTTCTTGGGGTTCCTGGTGTATGTGGTATAGGTCTCGGTAATATTGGAGGAATGTGCGGAGAGTTGGTCTGGGAGGTGTTGGACTCGCTGAGCCGGATCTTTAATTTTAGGTATATACAATTGGGTTCTCTGTTGTTTAAGGAGGTTGGCAAGGAGCCTGCTGCATTTGTTCCCCTGTTCATGGATCAGGTGTCTGAAATGCTGGAAGGAGGGTTGGATCGCATGGAGCACTGCCTTGTGGGCCTCCCAGCAGGTCAGGGGTGTTGTGTCACAGAGAAGTAGTCCTGAATGGTCTGTCTGGTCATTTCAAAAATATTTGTGTTGGAGAGGATCGATTCATTTAATTGCCAAAATGTCTGCCTGGGTCGGAACAAGTGTAGGCGGACTGGGTTATGATCTGACCAGGTGATGGGTAAAATTTCAGATTCCACTAATAGAGTAAGTTAATTGTGTGGTACCAGGAAGTAGTTGAGTCTTGAGTATGAGATGTGCGTTTGGGAGTAAAAGGTGTAGTAGTGGGCTGTCGGGTTCAGCGCCCTCCATCAATCCGTAAGTTGGTGGTGGTGGAGGAGGCGGAGTGTTTTAGCATGGCGATTGTCCGGTGGCGTTGCCGTGTGGGAGAAGGTTTCTTGTTGATTGAGTGTCACATTTAGGTCACCGCCTATTATCAAAATACCCTCTGCGAATCTCATCATGCTATTAAATGTGGTGAGGAGGAATTGGTATTGTTTGGAATTTGGGGCGTAGATGTTTGCGAATGTGTATTTCTGACCGTGAAGGATGCCCTTCGTGAAAATGTATCTGCCGTGTTTGCATCGAATGGTGTCCAATTCTACGTAGGAAATATGCCTGGAGAATAGTATTCCCACTCCGAGGGTGCGGCATGATGGATTGTTGCTGAAGAATCCAAGCGGGTAGTTGCTTTCTCTCAGGGGGGTGCCCTGTTTTCTTGAAAGTGTGTTACCTGGAGAAACGCCACAGAGGCCCTATACCTTTTCAGGTAGTGGAGAAGGCAAGAGCATTTCTCGCGGACGTTGAGGCCATGGACGTTGTAGGTTATTCCCGGGGGTTGGCATCTCCAGGGCGGCGAGCAGGGGTCAAGCCCAGGAAGAGAGGAAAGTGAGTAAGAGAGATGAAAAGGAAGAAGAAAAAAAAAAAGAGGAGAAAAAAGGGGAGGGAGGGAGGCAGGGGGTAATTTGTGTTGGTTTAATCTGTGTCGTCTAGGTCAGGTGGTAGATGCAGGTAAACGGACAAGGTTCCAGGTAGAAGAGCAACACTGGTCCCGTGGGTCCAGGGTTGTGGGTGTACTCCTGGAGGGAAACGCTGCCTTCGTTCAGGGGGGCACATTATGTCCTGTTCCTGTCAGGGGGGTGGTGCTTCGCCCAAAGTATGGGTCGTCTACCCAGGCGGTACTGGTGTCTTGGTTGTATTTGGTTAGATGGTGTGGTCCCCTAGGTGATCGCTCACGGTTGTGGATTAGTGTGGTGTGGTCTTGCCTCGTTCTGGCTTGTGTGTTCTGGGTATCATTACATCTCTCATTATGGTGGTCAGTTTAGGGCCTACGCTGTCAGTGGAATTGATCTCTGTCTGCGTATCTTTTTTAGTGTGTTCTGTGATCCGTGTATCCGTCCTCATGATCCGTGTGTGTGTTCAGTGTGGGTGGCTACATAGCGAGTTAGGGGGTGGGCCTGTTGGGGTGTATACACATCCTTAGGGTGGTACCTGTCGCAGTTGAGTGTCTCGGGTTACTTACTGTGTCCAGGGTTGGGAGTTGGGTCAGTTACGCTTGGTCTGTCTGGGGTCTCTATTGATGGGCCCGAGTATGCATCCTTTTTGGCCTGTACCGTTTTACTACCCCCTCTCTGCCCTCTCCTCTCAGCATTCTCTCCCCTCTCCCAGTTTCCTATCTACAACCTCTGGGTCGGGTAGTGTTAGTGGGACTGAGCAGTCATTGGTGGTGGTGGCTTTTCTTGAGAGGTATATATGTCGTGAAGTACCAACTGTGTGTATGTGTGATTTTTTTCCCCTTCTCTCTTCTCCTTTTTTCCCCCTCCCACCTTCCCCCCTTCCTTCCTCTCTTTCTTTCCCTTCTCCCCCATGTGAGCGATATTTAGGTGCCAAAGGTCCTTTGAGCACAATGATATGGCTTCTATTGTATTTGTAGTATGGTGCATGAGACTGAATTTGTAAACCAGGAACAAATGTAAATGTTTTGTTACTTTAAAAAAAAATGGAAGAAACAATGTGAAAAATTGGCACCCCCTTAAATATTTGACCCCAGTTGGACTATTAATTAATATGTCACTGGAGACTACAATTTACATTTTAAAGATATATTACCAGATGGTAAAGTGTAATATTTAAAATGCAAGTATAAACAGATGGAAGGTTACTAATGTAACTCTGTGCAATTATATAAATAGTAATCTGATGCTGAATCTAAAGTTATTTAGTTATAGGTGTGTGTTTCACTATATCAAGCCTCTGCAGAGCTCAGGGGACACATTCAAAGAAAACAGTGTTTGTGTCATTTATAAATAAAATATTTTTATTGTATGCAAAACCACAAGTAACTGTAATAACTGAGATATTGTTAAGATGGTATAACTCTACCTTGCAAATCATAAGCCAACCTTTATTCACAAGCTGGCCTGGATTTCCAATTAGGTACCTACCTACCTATAGGGGCTTGACTACTAGGGGCACCTGTTTTCAGCACTTATAATGTGCCTTTTTGAGCTTAAATAGGATGGTGGTGAGAGATAAATACCAGGAGCCTTGGCCAGTGTCCTCTGTAGTCCAATCAGTCTTACAAGCGGAGCTGCAGGATCAGTTAGAGGGTGTAAACCTCAGTGCTGTCCCAGCTCCTCCAGTGTCTGTGTGTGAGGCTGGACAGGAAGTGGAAGGGTTCACTTCCCATCCGCCCACTAGTTACCTCTCCCACAGGAAATGCCATGCAGAGGAGCGGGGAAGCTCTCAGTGTTACATATTGTATAACAGCCCCTGCAGCTCTAATATTACCAATCTGGCTGGTCTATCGAAGACCTAAGAGTCTAACTCCATGTGCCTCAACACCCCTTTTCCCAAACCCTAAATTTAACCCCTCCCAAAACCTAAAGAAACTCATTCCTCTAGCATAATTGTATTTTAACTATTTTTAAAAATGAAACACCTCAAGTACCTCAATACTAAATTTGACCCACCTCTAGCCCTAAACTCATTAATCCTAAACATCTTTAAAATAAATGGAGGATAAATAGAAGCTCTTCAAACAAATATTAGAAAGGTACATTTCTCAATATGAACCATTGGGTAATAAATATAAAAGAAACAAATTGAAACCAATGTGGCTTAGTAGAGAAGTAAAACAAGAGATTAAAAATAAGAAAATGGTATTTAAAGCATTTAAATCAGACAAAGCAGAG